CACTGGTCGCTTTCCCAGATAATACTTTCAGTTACATGGTAGGGATGTAAAAGTTTTGCTAGTTAACTGATAGGTGATGCTTATCAGTTCTGGTTAAACAGTTAAACTCCTGTGGGCTGCCAGCAACCTGTGGGGCCAGAGGCTGGTGCAACCGGCAGTCCACAAAGCTGGCAGCCCACAGGGGCTGGAACTGGCATGAACTGGAGACTGGAGGCAAGTGGGGCTGGGAGCCAGAGATTTGTGCGGCCAGGAGCTAGCAAAGCTGGAAGCCCATGGGGGCTGGAGGCTGGCAGGGCCAGCAGCCCTCGGCACTCGTTCAACAGTGTAAAAGATTTACATTTCAGTTACACAGTTAGTATTTTTAGAAGTTTTTTACATCCCTATTACACATACCCATGTATCAGGATCCACAAATTAGGAACACTTACCTGTTTCCTATTTGTGCAACATTAGAATACCACAATAGCAACAATGTCACTTTTACAGCTTTCCTTTCTGAGCCATAATGCAGAAGCACCAATGACAGTTGTACAGTTCAAGTTAAGTCTGGTTTGAGACGTGCACTTGTATTTTTCTAAGGCTTTCCTGAAGACTCCAGGAAGTACAATAAGCAATTTTGCTAATTGTAGTCATGACAGATTTGTATGTTTCCTGTAAAACTGCTTTCAAAACCAGAACACACTGGCTGCACTGCTGACCCACAGCAGGTATGTCCAAATGTTATGTGGATTTCAATGGAATGTTAATGATCATCAATTTAAACCTTAATGGGATATGGCTGATATAGTCATATACAGAAAAGCAACAAATTAAAGCTGCAAGATCACCACAATACATAGTCTTCCGGACAATGGCAAAAGCAAACAACATCTCATTAAATCAATCATTTCAATTGTTCAAAGGTTTTAAGGGAGTACAGGAGCACTCAATTATGTTTATTAATCTAACTTTGGGTTGTATAACTGTTGTGGATATACTGAGTTTAGGATTGATGCACTGTAAATAAGTACATTAAATTATGTATTACTGAAAACACATGCACAGGACTTCTAGGGCTGTCAATGGCAGTTAACGCACGCAATTAATGCAAACAAATTAACTAGTGCAAATATTAGTAATCCAAAATATAAAGTGAGCACTTTAACCTTTGTTTCCTGTGTTGTAACAAATAAATTTACAAATATAGAAAAGCATCCAAAATATTTATAACACATTTAAATTGGCATGTATTATTAAAACTGCAATTACTTACAGCAGTTAAATCTAACAATTAATTGACTTTTAAAAATTGTTTGACAGCCCTAACGCCTTCAGGTGTACAAGGCAGCACAGCTGAGACTTGCTGGAGACTATGACAATATCCTTATGAGTATTTAAAATCTCAGCCTATGAAACGGGAATAATTTAAGCTTTGCACAATTTATGGTTAAACACAATCACTTACTGGAGCTCCAGAAATCCCAGGCACACCTGCACCCTGAACATTCTGTGCAGGAGTTGAAAAAGGTTCATAAAAGGGCAACAAAAATGATTAAGGGGATGGAACAGCTGCCATACAAGCAGAGATTAATAAGACTGGGACTTTACAGCTTGGAAAAGAGACAACTAAGGGGAGAGATGATAGAGGTCTACAAAATCATGTCTGCTGTGAAGAAAGTGAAGGAAGAATTATTTGTTCCTTCCCATAACACAAGAACTAGGAGTCAGCAAATGAAATTAATAGGTAGCAGGTTTAAAAATAAACAAAAGGAAGTATTTCTTCACACAATGCACAGTCAATCTGTGGAACTCCTTGCTAGAGGATGTTGCAAAGGCCAAGATTATAACAGAATTCAAAAAAGAGCTAGATATTAATGGAGGATAAGTCTATCAGTGGCTATTAGCCAGGATGGACAGGGATGGTGTCCAACTGGGAAGGGGTGACAAGGGAGGGATCACTTGAGGATTACCGGTTCTATTCGCTCCTTGTGGGGCACATGTGGCAGTTCTTGTAAACACTAAGAAACTTTACATGACTTTTCTGCATACATACACACTAGCCTGTTTATAACCAAAGGGCCACTTCGAAGTAAATACTGAAATTAATGCACAATATTTATAAACACACAATAAACATTGTAATAGCAAGCTTTTCTATGGGACCTGTCATCCATAGAGGTGTGTTTGCTTCACGTAAGCAGAGCTTTCACAAGCTCATATTGTAATAGATTGAAATGAATATGCAACGAATTGTACAGCATGCCAAACAAACTCGAGCACTTTCAATACTTGTAAGTGCTAGACCTAATGAAAAGTATAAGAATTGTGCATACACTGCATGGGATTTTCAATTTATAATGTCTTCAAGTATGTCAAAAACTTCTATGATCATTCAGGACCAAGTCCATAGCTAGTTTACCAGTTTTTAAAATGAAGCTATTGGTTACCTGAGAAAACAGTGAATTTTAATTTGACTCGTGATATATGTGTATGGAAATTTACTAATAAGTTCACCTTTGGGAAGAGAATAGAAATGATAAATTTCAGCTCCAAATTTTCCAAATGCTGTAAATAACAAAAGACAAAACCCTCAAATGTAACTAGAATACAGCTAATATGGCACTAGAATTTATATTTATCAAACTAAGCAAATAAATCACTTTCACAATTGCACTGTGCTTCTGTCTGATGGGTTTGAAAGGGTCACTTTTAAGTGACAACTGCATTTCTATGCCATTCATCTGAGGATCACAAATTCCTTAAGTGGTTGCGAGTTAATGCTGTTTTAGAGACATGGAAACTGAGGCAGCCAATTCCCAGCTCCCCTCTCTAGGCAAGCTTCCTTCCTTAAACTAAGTTAACTTGCAGACTGATCTCCCTGAAGAAACTGAGCAGAAGCAGCACCTGCTTGACAATTTGTTACCCACTGACCTCTACCAACAACAGGAAATAAAGCTTATATTCTGGGGAAATGCTTTTACCACAGCTCCATTAAACTTCACCCCAGCACAGATAGTAGTCACAGATCGCAGAGAGGTAGCCAGTAAAACAAAAGCAGTCATGTAGCACTTGAAGACTAACAAAATAGTTTTAGGCGATGAGCTTTTGGGGGCAGACCATTCACTTTCAGAATATGATCTGAGGAAGTGGGTCTGCCCCATAAAAGCTCATCACCTAATAAACTATCTTCTTAGTCTTTAAAGTGCCACATGACTGTTTGTGTTTTACCAAGCACAGTAGTGATCATTTAACTGTGTGGCAGTTGTCTTGACCAAGTGATAAGGTTTAAAACATTACTGCACTACCAAATATCTTACTGTCCATGGAACTTAAGACCTAGAGCAGTGGAAGGACAGCAGGATGATGTGCTATGGAAAGAGGTAGCTAGTTTGGATCAGAGCACCCAACACTGAAAACTCAGCCAGTTCTGCCTGCTCAGGGGTAGCAGGACAACCACTAGTATGGTTGGTGATAAAAACAAGACACTAATATTGGAGAGTAAGCACTTGTGACTTGCTGCATCCTCCCCTCTCTCACACAGAGTTCCTCAACACTGTCCTTTCAATTTTGTCAGAGTCTTCTTAGCACTAGGCCAAATGGGAAGATTTGCAGATACTAAACTGTTCAAGATAGTTAAGACCAGAGCAGACTGTGAAGAATGACTGGGCAACAAAATGGAAAAAATAATCCCAACTATACATACAATATGATGGGGACTAATTTGTCTACTAGTACTCAAGAGAGATCTTGGGAGTCACTGGGGATAGTTCTCCAAAAAGATCCACTCAGTGTGCAGCGGCAGTGAAAAAAGCAAATAGAATGCTAGGAATCGTTAAAAAAAGGACCGAGAATATCTTATTGCCTCTATATAAAGTCATGGTTCACCCACATCTGGAATACTGCAGACAGACGTGGTCGACTCATCTCAAAAAAGATATATTGGCATTGGAACTAGGGGGTCACCAAATGAAATGAATAGGCAGCAGGTTTAAAACCAACAAAAGGAAGTTTCTTTTTATAATGGAGATTGCCTATCTCCTAGAACTGGAAGGGACCTTGAAAGGTCCCCTGCCTTCACAGCAGGACCAAATACCATCCCTGATGAATTTTTGCCCCAAATCCCTAAATGGCCTCCGCAAGGATTGAACTCACAACGCTGGGTTTAGCAGGCCAATGCTCAAACCACTGAGCTATCCCTCCCCCCTTCTTCACTCAGCGCACAGTCAACCTGTGGAACCACTTGGCAGAGGAGGTTGTGAAGACCAGAACTTTATCAGGGTTCAAGAAAGAACTAGACACATTCATGGAGGATAGGTCCATCAATGGCTATGAGCCAGGATGGGTAGGAACGGTGTCCCTAGCTTCTGTCAGGGGCTGGGAATGGATGACAGGAAGGGTGATGATTACCTGTTGTGATCCCTCCCTCTGGGGCATCTAGAATTGGCCACTGTCACAAGACAGGATACTGGGCTGGATGGACCTCTGATCTGATCTAGTCTGGCTGTTCTTATAGGAACAGGACATGTTATACCCTAGAACTTCACCATAAGTTGTAGAGAAGCTGAGTAGGCAGACTTTTGCTGGTTGCTACTGGATGGCAGAGGCTACATGACAGCAGCAGTCATTTAGCACCAGTAATAAGGAAAGCAACAGCAGTACATGTATGTGAAAGCAATACCAGCAGCATTAGACAGGGTGGGGGGCACAGAAGAGCCTCCAGCTCTGGAAAGCTTCGAGACGACAACTTTCTTCCTCCTCCCACACAAGATCAATGACTATAAGGGCCATAGGAAGCATCCCTGGCAAACCCGCAGCTACACTGGTGGATCTGGAAAGTCTCTCCTCACTGCAGAAACTGGCCTGCTCACCTGCAGCACAGCTTAGAGACCTTCTGCCTCAGACAGGGCAAGGTGGAGCTGAGTCTGTGCTTCCTCTGCATGCCTGGGGTAAAGAAGCCCTGAAAAGTGTGTTCTTGTCATGAAAGCTTTTCCCTTTAGCAGGAGAAATTCAGCCCTTTGTAGTCGGGGAGGCCAGGGTTGGAGAGCTAGAGAAATGGTGACCTCACAGGAGCGCAGAATGGAAGTGGAACAACTGGCAGAGCAGGGCTTTTGAGTCAGACGAGGGAAAACTACTTTGGCTCGCAGCTGTTTCATTCCAATTAATAGCCTGAAGCATGTGAAAGGGTGAGCCGCCTCAAAGCTTCAGGGAGAGCAGGGTGGGGACCCTACAGCCCACAGCTTGCCTTTCTTCAGCCCACAAGGCTCAGGGTTCCTGTCCCCTGCATGGGGCCTGAGCAACACAAGTGGTGGGTCAGCCCATGGGCTCAGCCTGGCAGGGGGAAGGGCAGCAGCTCTGTGCGCTGCAGGCAATTACTCCCTGAGACCCTGCAGTGTGTAGGCCCCAAACCCCTGCTCCCTCCCATCCAGACCCCACTCTGCTCCTGCACCCTCAAGCCTACTCCAACACTCCCCTCGCCTTCCAGATCCTGTCTCCCCACCCACTCCTGTCCAGACCTCCCACCCAGCCCCCACCTGCTCCTTGGCAGCACCTTCCCACACCCTGAATCCCTCGGATGCCCAGAAGAGGTCATTCGTCCCTGGGGTAAGCCGAGCCTCAGCGCCACCCCACCCCCCACCACGGGACTGGAGCTTGAACACAGCGTCTTTCCTGTTTCTCAGTGGGGGGCAACAATGGGGGAGGGGAGTGTTCCTCCTCATTTGGAGGTCAGGTCAGTGAGGGTTGGTTGTGGGGTTTTTTGGGCGGGGGGGATGAGATTCTCACGTGTGTGTGTGGCTCATGACTGATATTTCTGTGCATCAGTGGCATCCATCCCAAAACATTTCCCCCAGCCCCGAGTTAATGTGTTAAGGCTCATTCACCTCTTGTAGAAGAGCCTCTGGGAGGTCGCAGATTAGGGAAGAATGGAAACAGGAAGGTAAAAGACAAGTGCTTGCCCAGAGAAGAGTAATTATTCACCCATGGAATTATATGAACATAGCTCCACTGCTGTAAATCTGGACCCCAGTGTAGAAGATCCCTACAAATAAAGTCTATTTAAAAGGTGGCATCTAAAATACCATGCAGTTGTCACTGCACGACAACGTGACTCCCTCCACCAAACACACACGGTCTTCCCCCGTCATGTCTGGTTATGAAGATATTCAAGATCAGCTTTCCACTTACAGTCAACCTGGCTCCCCTTTCTGACTGACTCAGTGATGCCTCCATGTACAGTGACACTGCGATTCACTCTCTTGGAACAAAGCGATGTGAAACAGCCAATGAACATCAATGAACAAGTCTGGCTCCAGAGAGGAGGAGCAGCAGGTTGACAATGAGCACGCTTCAGTGCAGACGCTAATCAGCCATGAAGAGGCAGACTGGATGTAAGTGAGGATTAGGATTGTGAAAGGTCGACCTGTTCTATCTGTTCAATAATAAAGGGCTCACTTCCCATTAAAAACAAGAAAAAGAACCCATAGAACTCATCTCTGCATAAGGCGGCAGTCACTTACCAGAGCTGGCCATTTTCTGAGCAATGCCACTTATGACCCTGGCTACCATAAAAGGGTAATTGAATCTCATGATGGAGGGTGGAATTCATGCAATTCCCTATGCTGAGGTGAGAAACGCATCTCCCCCAACAGCCCCGGTGGGTCAGGCAACACTACACAGGTGACCAAGGCATTACAAGAGTGCTCTTGTGAAGCTTCCGGTATTTTTTGCTGCTTGATGGCCTGCTGCAGAAAATGCTATATTCCTAATCAGATGGGCGGACACCAATGACTGTAAGGCAGTTAGCTGGGGTTTTGGTGGCAGTCTGCCAGGGCATTTATTCTACTTGGATGTTTAATAAGTGTAGCAGGGATTCTCCCCTTTAGCAGAGCTGAAAATGGGCACACCAATGCCAACACAGCAGTTTCTTGAACTTTAATCTAGTTACACGGTAAGCCATGAAAGGAGCTTTGATTGAGCCATTCTACACACACAACACTTACGGGAGGGCAAAATGGAAAAACATTAACAGAGGAAGAGTAACATGATGCCACCCTTCAACTGTGGTACTTACATAACTGTATTGTCGTCAACTAAGATATCACAGCCATGAGCAGGGCATGAAATAGTCTGAAAAAGGAATAAACGGGTCAAGTAAGGTCTTGGAATATTTTTGTGCCCCTCATGAAGAACCCCAAAGGATTTTATTGCAACTAGCCATAGCTGCTCAGCAAAAATCAGAATTCCAGATTTGTTGGCCAGATCCACCTCTAAGCAGCATGACTGTGTCCAACCTGGGCTACTGTACTTACAGTGTATGCAGTTCAGACCCACATGCACTCTGTAGATAAAGACATTAACCTCTAAGACTTTTTATTCTTTTTTGTTCAAAAAGACTCCTGCCTCCATCCATCCTTCCCTCTTCCCAACACAAGATCAGCACAAGTCACACATACAATAGTTACCTGTCCCATGCCTTCCTCCATTATTTTGGTAGTTAAATATTCGCTCCAGCACTGCATACAGAACTTATGTCCACACTCTAGGCCAGTGAAGTACTGCAACAACAAAGAGACGTGACACGGTGTACATTCTGTCCTTCCAGGAGCTGTGCCATTCTGCTTATTTCATCTCTTACTTGCAGTGCAGCATCTGACTGTTCTAACAACCCCACCTTGCTACTTTGCATTGCTGTCAATGCCACGCTGTTACACCAACTTGCAACACGCACTCAAGGTAGCTGCAGCCTGCATCCTATCAGCAGCAGGAAAGATGCAGATGGAGGATTCGTCCCTCCCTTCTCAACTACTTCTAAGTCATCACTCACTGCACGTTACGTCTGTACTTGGAGCTGAGTGGGCATGGGAGGGTGAACCCCAGCTTTAGAGCAGGGTAGCCATGGTAGCGAAAGTAGCACCGCAGGTTACCCCCATCCAGCATAAACCTGTCCAGACCCCAGGGGCATTGAGGCAGCTAGACCATACCACTGACACCCAGGCTTCCCCAGTGCCCATGTGGTCACAGCTACAATATTACTTGTGCACCTGGTGAGAGACTTTCTTCCTACCTTTTATTTTTTGAGTGCAAACCACTAACAAATGCTGCATCATGGAACAGTGCTCAAGTTTGAATACCACCTCTGTGTTTCCTTCACTCCTCTTCACTTGGAGATCACATTCAGTCCTTCTGCTCCAGAGTGATTACCAACCACACCTGCCCAAGGCACGTACCCAGGCACAGACACGCAGCAAGGGATAAAGAGGGACTCAACTGTGTTATGGGGCTAATGGTGAGTATCAGGCTTTTACATAGGTAGAGCGCAACATGAACTGATGTAGAAAGCATCTCTCAATATATCAATTAGTGTAGCCTTCCTTGGAATGCAGATGTTCATCTGATCAGAAGGGCAAGAACCTAGTTGGCAGAAATAAATTACCAACAGATTTGATACAAATGTTTAGCTCTAACCAAAGTGTGCCAAGACACCATTTGGGACTCATGTGATTATGTGAGGGAGTAGGGGGAAAAAAAACAAGAGCAGTAAGTCTGACTGCTAAAGTAGAATGACTCTGAATACATGGGATTCAGACAAAAGTCTCAAGTTGTGGTGGGAGAGGTCCAGGTTGGATATTAGGAAAAACTATTTCACTAGGAGGGTAGTGAAGCACTGGAATGGGTTACCTAGGGAAGTAGTGGAGTCTCCATCCCTAGAGGTGTTTAAGTCTCGGCTTGACAAAGCCCTGGCCGGGTTGATTTAGTTGGGATTGGTCCTGCCTAGAGCAGGGGGCTGGACTGGATGACCTCCTGAGGTCTCTTCCAGCTCTATGGTTCTATGATTCTCCCTCGCTGCTCCTGTGCAAGTTCTAATTTGGTACGATTTCAGGACTGACCCCTCACTTCATTTTCTACACGTGAAGTGTCACACACTTGTGAAAGGCACCACATTTCTTTCAGAAAGATGTACTGTTGTGAACATCGCTCAAGATTACACGCCTTACATTTCCGTGGGCATCTGACACTGGGGCATAAGGAATTTACACTTCCTTCCCTGGCATGACCACCCAACTCAGGTGCCGCTCTGGAGGCACTCACACTCTTCAAGGCCCTGCTATGAAGGTCCTTTGGCCTCCACTAGAGCTATCTAAATAAGCAATTCAGCTCCATGCTGCCTTCCCCTCTACTAACCTTGACCAGCTCTAGAGCAGGCCCAGGGAACTCTGTCTTTCAGTGGCAGTTTCCTGTGGGAGAAGCTCTCCATCTTGATCACCAGGCAGTTACCAACGAGGCAGGCAGCTAGACAGCCATAATCTCCACTCTGGAGAAAAACTGGCTCTGTTTTCAGTTAATTTGTGCACCCCGATGACGATGACATCTGAGGAGCTGCCAACATCCCTGTGCCTGACCTTGAGATGGAGCTTCAGGAGAATGGCAAGGAATGTATTTTGTTGCAGGCTGAGGAATCTCTGGCAACCCTGGGTGGAACTATGCGAGGCTCAGATCGAGAGCGTACTGATCTACCACAGGTCTATGGTAACCATGGCACAGAAGGCTCATCTGCATGGGATGGGAGTTTGCAGCCTAGAGATCTCATTACCAAGGGTATCCTCTAAAGGCTTGTCTACACTGACAAGTCACTGCACCAAAGCTTCCTCGCTCAGGAGTGAAAAATCACCCACCTGAGTACAGCAAGTTTCAGCCCAGTAACTTGCCCCTGTAGATAGGCTCCCAGCACTGGTAGCTAAGTGCCATGTGGAGGTGGTTTTCCTACAGTGCTGGAGCCACGACCACAGGGTCATGCTACAGCACTGTTGCCAAAGGACATATCAGCCCAGGAAGAGAGAAGAGCGCAAGGTGTATCCTTGGTGCAACGTTCATTTTGATGGCTTCCCGCAAGCCAGAGACCCGGTAGCTCCTACTTCCTTGTCAGTCTCTGCCTCCTCCCAAGCAGTACACAACACCTACTTCTCTAGCTAGCCACTCCTCACCGAGAAGTTCCTCCACATCTGCCTGAGGCTGACTGGCAAGAAAGGAGGAACCCATAAAGGCCCCCCCACACACCCCTGGCAATTGAGACAGCTGAAGAACATTCTGTTCCAAAAATGGCACCTCAAGAGCAGACATTACCTTTCCATATTGATAAGACTAATGCCTTCACTTGGGGGGCGGGGGCAGGATCAGTGTCATCTTCCTGCTTTTTGCATAGTATCTGTAAACACTCCAGTATTGGTATTTTACTACTGCTTGATATCTGCATCTGCGCTTTTGTAAACAGTAACTGAGCACAGAGTCAGGACTCTGCTGAGCCAAGACTGATGTTTACCAGAACAGATCCATTTAAAACATTTTCCTACAGTAAACAGCTCCGCCAAAGTGACAGATCCCAGAAAGGCATCCGTACAGCTACAGAACAAGTGCACAGCATGGATGGGCTGCAGAACAAGCTTCCCAGAAACACTGCCCTCTTAATGCTCCCATCGAACCTGACCTGAAGAGACAGCGTTCTGTCTACTGGGCCTTTCCAATTCCTCTCCTCTCCTCACCTCTCTGCCAACAAGCGGTCGCAGTAGGATGGCTGATGGCCCAACATCTATGCACTGGGAATCAAACAGGCCAATTTTCACTTGGGCCATCAGACTGTCACTGCTGGATTCCGACTGGTGCGAGAGCAGGACAAGGCTCTCCCAGTATTCCTGACCATGCTCGTGTGTCCTGGAGGTCACCATTCTACCAGCTGGAGTGGGGATTCAACCCAAACTTCTCCTGAGCAGGCCAGATGGGTTACTATACAGAACACAAAATCTACCCTCCCACTACCCCTGCAAGGCAGAGTGATGCCATCTGATCTTTTCACCACAAACAGTCTTTCGTGAATTTTTAGCACTCTCTAAATCTCAGAAATCCCCAGCATTCGATAAACTGGAAGGAACTCTTACAAATGACAGTGTTCTGGATCACCTGGGAAAAGTCAAAACTGTTCAAAACTACTAGTTGAGTCTCTCATTCTACCTCCTTTTCCCTGACATTCACACTTCTGTCCAATCGCTACTGACCTTTTTGGTGAAAAACAAACAAAAAAATGTAGCACTTCTGTCATTTCCACATGACATTTTCTGTTCTTGTCACCCCCCCAGCAATCCCGGAACTGTTACTATCCACAGCGCAGCCTCCATGCAAAAGATTAAGTTAAAACTGAAACTAGATAGTTGACAGCGAGCCCAGGCACAGATCCAGGCCTTTCCTATGAAAGAGAAAAGAACCTGGTTTTCCTGCCCCATTTCCCCCAGATTCTTCCTATGCTGAAGAAATTGAGGCTCTCCTATTCTGCTCAAGCTGATAGTGTCTCCAAGAAAATCCTCCTGAGTGAAGCTATTCTCCTTTCAGCTAAGGACTGGACCGGGCAGGCGTCCAAAAATCACCTATTACAGGTCAAACACACCAAAGAAAGCAACAGAACAACACTGGCCATTACCTCCAGCCTTCAGCTAAACCTTCCTGCACATCTGCAGCCTACCCTAGGTGACGATCCCTCACTCAGACCTTGGGAAACAGGCCAGTGCTCGCTTACAGTCCCCCAACCTGAAACAAATGCCACCAAGAGCACACTACGTCAGAGACACTAACCCAGGAACCAACCCCTGATAAACTCCACTGCCAACTCTGTCCACACAGCTATTCTAGTGACACTACCATAAGAGCTACGCCATCGGGCACATTCACTTGCACATCTGCTATGACCTTACATGCCTGCAATGCCCTTCTGCTATGTGCACTGGACAAACTGTACTGTCTTTACACAAAAGAATGGATGCAAAACAGGCATCAATAACAGTAACATTCAAAAGCCAGCAGGAACATTTCAACCTCCCTGGACACTCAGTCCCTTACTTAAAGCTGCCAGACTTCAGGAAAAACACTTCCAAACCAGACTGCAGTGCTTCTGTCCACATGCAAACTTGATACTCACTACAGAAAGTGAATACCCCCTTTTGGTATTCTCACCGTCTCTATTCAGGGTGGATGTGGCCTGCTCCCAACAAACTGGCCTCATTAACACTGCTCCTCCGCATAGTAAAGTAACACTCCTATCTCTGCATGTGTGTAAATATACTTGTCAAACTGAAGGATCCACTTGATGCACCTGACGAAGTGGGCTCCTACAAAAGCTTATGCCAAATAAATTTAAGTCAAGACTTTAAGGTGCCAAAGAGTGATAGGCAATTCAGTTATTACACTGTTCTGGCCAATACACTACTGCCAACTGTGCTGAGCTTGCTGTCTGGAAAACCCTCCAGACTTAATTCACTAGTATTCCCATGGTGGCCCAAGAAACAGAACTGTCGAGTGCAGTCCATCTTTGTGTCTGCTTTAAAATCACTGATTATGGAAGATTTACTGGAAGCTGAAAATTGAAGCAATTACGGCTGCACTGAAAGCAGAATACTGAGAGACTATTTGCCTGGGAAAAGAGAGGGTGAGATTTTACTTAACGGGAAGTTTATGAAGGGCTCCTCAGCAGAAAGCTAAAGTCCAGCTATGCAGAGCAGAAGCTTGGGGCCCAAAGGCCCCCCCCTTGGGTGGGGGGGGGGGGATGGGGGAGTCAAAGCATCAACAACTTCACTTTACAGGGTCAAGAGGTGTGGGGCCCTGGGCAACTACCGTGCTTGCTGTATCCTAATTCTGGCCCTGGATCTTATATGCAGAAACACAGTTGTAGTATAGGTGGGCTGCGTGGTTTTACAGCACATCGGGAAGGTCTCAAAGAAATTTTGAGAAATCCTGAGCTAGATCATCTCCCACTGTGATATTGAGGAAGTCAAGCCCATTCTTCAGTAGACGCACAGTCAAACAATCCAGGGCCCAAAGAGTGAAGATACTAGCTTTGTGGACACTGGCCTACACCCAGATGCGTAAAAGCAGTGTCTGAAGGGGCTAGGTTAAGTGTCACAGTGATGCACAGGGCATTAATATGAAGAGGCAGTAGGGATATGGGGGAGGTGCCCACGTGGGGCAGGAGGCTGGAGTTGAATTTACTGTGCTCCACTTGCGACGTGGAACACTGGGAAGTGGAGCGGGGAGTGAATACGTGCGCACACTAACAGCTAAAGTGTCTGAGGGGGGAGGTAACAGACACATACCTTTTATGATGGATAAAAGGCACTCAAGGTTTATTCCAAGTGACTTTTCGCTTTTTTAAAATTTTGTATTAGGCGTGTTAAGTCTGGTTGTTCCTGGCTTTAAGAGGAAACTTGCTAGAACTCTCAGGTGAACACATTTAAAAGTAAAGAGGGTTCTTTCCCAGATATTTACATTAGGCAGTTTAGTAGTCTGAATCAAATTAGAGTGTATTTTTAATATCGTTATACAACAAAGTGGATTCACAAATTTCTCCCCTTGGGGCTCACTTTAAGGATGAAGAGGAAGTGCAGAAGGCTCTGAAGACAAAGGGAGAAGGAATGGGCAAATCTATTTCCTGAACAGTGTATTTGCATTTATGGAGACTGGCTAGCAAGCACCCAATGTACATTGCACCAGTGCAGCACAAGACTGAGAATCTCCCAGGTGGTGGCATCTGACCCTTGCTCATCCTTACACACAAGCAGCTCGCACTGCTTCCTGGCACATGCCTGACAGCCAGGCCAGGCAATAAGACAAACTCTTTCAAGGCAGCTCATAAAAGCCAAGTGCAAAATGGAGACCTAGAAGTTGGGCTAAACACACCAGCGTGAGAATGGAATGGTCTCATGTCTTCCTTATAGAAAGGCTTCCTGGTCCCAAAAAGATCAAACCAAAGGGCAACCTGCTTTGGAGATCAATCCATTTGGAATTGTAAGTTAAAATAAAGAAAAGGAAGCTCCTGATGGATACTGGTTGCTGGCAAAGCCAGAGAAGCTGAGAGGTTTGTGTGTCAGAGACTTACATTGGTCTACTGATCTTATCCTTCCTCTCCCTGTTTGTTCTGTTCATCTGCAGCACCCCAACAGCCAGCACTCCGGGGCTGGGGCTGTCACGTTACTTGACTGCACAGCACACAGCAGCCCTGGAACCCTGACACCAATAGCTTACATCTGGGACTGTGCAAAACAAGGAAATCTGGCAATCCTGCCAGGACTCAGGAGGCTGAGCTGTAGCCACTGGAGAACAGCTCCACCGAAGCTATTCAGTGAACACAGACCCCTGTGCGCATAGCTCCCCATCTGCTAAATCTAGTCACTACAGAAGTGACTGTCCTTTTATCTTCCCTCAACTCCCATTTCAGTTTTATCATCCTGCACTTTTTAATTGGTCTATTCCAGGCTCTCTTGTCCTTTTTCAGTTATATCCACCAGTGTTTTCAGTTATATCCCTCTCGTGTTTTTTCACAACACTGATTTTTAGGATCATGTGAATTCCCCCCCCGCCATGTGTCACTGTGCATCTGACTTTTTGAAAAATAATATAATTTAATTGATTGGTCTGTGCTTAACTGAATGGCATTACAGCATTGCTACTCACAACCTGACACCACACCTTAACATGTGCCATTCTTCATGTTTCTGCAAACACAATAATGGTCAATATACCATTGGAATGTCACACGCCTAACTCAATACATGACAGATTTACAGTGCACCTTTGCATCAGGCTTTGTTACTTAACACCTCTGTCTCTGCTCAAATGTGATTAGGTAAGACTGTGGCAGGACTTCTATATGAAAACATTTAATGCATCACAAACGTATTGCTCAGATATACTCAGAGCATCCTCTCGGCCATGTCCTGGCTGGAGGCTAACTCCGAAATGTTCCGTAATCATGACAGATTTACAGTGCACCTTTGCATCAGGCTTTGTTACTTAACACCTCTGTCTCTGCTCAAATGTGATTAGGTAAGACTGTGGCAGGACTTCTATATGAAAACATTTAATGCATCACAAACGTATTGCTCAGATATACTCAGAGCATCCTCTCGGCCATGTCCTGGCTGGAGGCTAACTCCGAAATGTTCCGTAAT